CGGGTAAGCAGATATACCCGCTAGTAAGTACCGATTTTAAGTTGTAATTAGCGACCATGACCTATCATGGATGCCAGTACGTTTCGTACTTGAAGAGACGCCTAACCGCTCTAACGCAGCTTATCACTTTTTTCGTGTAAAAGACCATATAAAAGATGAGTTAAGTCCGTGCTGAAAATTGAAAATGGCATATGCGAAATATAGCCTTTACAAGATGGGAATTGCCAGCAATATACGGGCACTCCAGAGACTGCAAGCGCCAGTTCTAAGGACTTGCCTTGGTCTTAAAATATGCGTTTGCAGCGGCAAGATTATTTCTTGCGCGAGATAATTCTATGTCCGCGTATATACGGAGCTACCACGCTGGGTTCAACACCTTGTCAAGATGCCTTCCCACCACCTCGCGTCGCTAAATGCAAACCAGCCACATGAGAAAATCATCGATGGTATTGCTAGTAACTGTACTTCACCAGCCTCCATCTGCACACCTGCCGCATGATCATCCTCGCCTTTATTGTCCCTTTGTTGTACCAATAATTATGATGAAAACAAAAATTTTGTCGGTTAATTTAAAATAAGTAGCATAACTTTTTAAATATTAGGCGCACAATGATTGTGTTCATTATCAGACTGAGATATAACTAATGGTCTAAACTCATTGACTTACATAGTAATTCAACCGAGATCCCACAATACACCCCCAAATGTTCTACGCAATATCAATACCACCTGCTTAACTTTTATTCTTCCGTGCAGCTCCTATAGGTCTGTTACAGATGAAGCTCCTACTTCACGGTCCAACTGTGATTGCAAAGCAGCCCTGCAAAGATTACTTTTCGCGGTAGGTATCGCCTCGCATGAGCCGCTCATTGAATAAATTAGGTACACTCAGCATGAAGTCATTCGGAAAGGACACAATAAAATTTCCAGTGTTTACCAAGACATGGAAAAATTCAGGGCATTGATCAAGCGCAAGAAGCTGCCTTATTAACACACGAGGGCGTCAGCGGTACCCGCATTTCGTTATTAAGATTTTATGCAGCAAAACGACTTCATGTGCTAGCACATCAAACGTTGAGTCGGTAAATTTACCGGTGTTTACAAATTCACGCTTATATTCCTGACATCATGATCTTCAATTACGAATCTCGTAAAACCTATCACGACACGATTGTACTCAGCTGATTCGTCTCTTCCTTGAATTGGCATTCTTTAATGCACATTCATTCACTACACGGTGCCTCGTGGTGTATTGTGAACTCTGTGGGGGCAAATAAACCATTTGTTTTTTGCCCCCACAGTAAAAACAATAAAATTGTTTTTTTTATGTTGTTACCTCAGAGCTGACCTGTACACTTTTTTATGTTGCACATTGTATTGGACCGTCCACTAGCCACTTTAGGCTATCAGTCCAAATAATCCCTGTAATTTCATATATCAATTCATGAAAATAAAGTTTCATTGATTGATTGATTGATTGAAACCATCTCGCACCTTTTCTGTAATTGCACACTCTTTGATGCCGAAAAAGTAGCACTTAAAGCTATGTCTGGTCCATTGGACAATCGCCCTCCCCCAAAAAAGGAAAAGTTGTCAAAAGAGTGACTCACACAGATGTCAACGCGAGCCACTATGAGAGTGTTTTGCTGCAGTTTTTTAGAGAAGCAAGATTGAGGGGTGCATTGTAGCAGTTAAGTGAAAACTCCCATTTGTTGCTTTGAGACAGTGCTGTTGGTATCTCTCTGCAGGGCAGTTACAGACAATCTCCTGTTCTTTCATCTTTTCACGCCTACTTTCTACAAGGTAGCTACCCGAAGATTTTTACTGCTTAGCTTTCCTGTCTTACCTAGCTTTTCCCTCTTTCTTTCTTTTCATTCTGTTTACGTTTTTCAACGATAACTGATACTTAGCTTCATGATAGAGGCCTCGAAGACTCAAGAACACGTGCCGTGCATTTCGTTTCAGATAACTCGCGGGGAATAAGACTGGCGACATTAAAATGGCCGCCACTCTCACTTGCCGATTTTTTTAAGCACATGGAAAAGACCAGAAATAAAACAAAGCAGCTCGCACGTTCACCCTTCGCTCAGTAGTACGCAACTTTCAGTGATTACTTACCTTCAATGTCACTCGTGCCTTCCGCCGTTATCCGTCGATCAAGGCAGCGAGCGCACCTCGGTCTCTGCGCTGTCGTCGTACTTTCCTTTTTGGAGCCGCCATCGTCAAATCATTTCGCTTTCTCGCGTCCATCCTCATTCAACCGAGAGTAACCTCACAGCCGTGAACCCTCTCGTTCGTCTTGTTCTTTGTGTGAATATAACGCAACTGACAGCAGTAGAAGCGCCAATTTTCCTGATTAAAGCGTGCACCGCACGAATTGCAGCGACTGGATAAAACACCAAAGTGCCACCAAGCAGCCGCTGGAGCTCAGCGAGAGAAAGGAGGGCGAGTTGAGGGCGTGACGACTTAAAAAGGCACTGACAGGCTAGACAGTGCGCTGATAGCATAAACCCGGCTTTTGCATAGCGTCTTTATGCACGAAAGAGCGAGCTCTTGCTACCTCTGAAGTAGTACGTCACCACGCTCGGCTTTCAGTGACTTGCCTTTCTACGCTGCGTTGGTGACTAACAGACCTGGTTGCAGCACTCTCTGCATCGCATTCTCTAGACGTTCATTCACTATACTGCCAAGTGTTGTCACCTGTTCTCGAAGCGACATTTATCGTTTAAATTCCACTTTCCTTCAACCAGAATCTGATAGAATTGTGAACTTGAAACAGGCGCGAGTCGGGAAAACAGAAAAATACAACATAAAACTTTTGTGCTCACAGTTATTTTTTCACAAGAAATTTACCGCTTTGATGGTTGTGAATGCAAAGTAGCGCTCCGTCACCGGCTAGGTCCCTGCATGTTACTTGGGTGTTGATATCGGGAGATCGCTTAACAAAATAGCAGAGATGACACGTTCGAGAAGAATGAAAAAGAGGGTGAAAGACAATGCACGTTAGACGACGAGCTGTACGTTGCGAGTGGCTTCTGTACGGTCGACTTGAGGTGGTCGCCTATTTTCTGTTGGGATATTCAAATATGAAGATGGCTGCAGGAAAGACGTGTAAACGACAGAAAAGAATGCAATCGTTTCATAAACTTATTCACAAAGAATGCTGCATTCAGAAAAACAGGCCCACATGGATACGTGTGTGACTAGGAATACTAACATGTTCTGAAGAAGAGCGATTTAACAAAAAAAAGGGACGGCCGTATGGTCTGGGACATATGCATGATCTCTATGTTGCAATTTCCGAATTTCCTCAAAGAAGCCACAGCTTCTGTTATTGCTTTGTTTGAAGGGTGGAAACTTGGGCAAGTTGGTAGGACATAACTGAAAATACGAACAGCGCAACTTAACAGAGCTTTTTTTTTCTATACTTGTTTCTTCGCTTCCGTAGTTACACTGTAGGTACTTTTAAGTTGCGCTGCTCGTATATTCAGTTATGCTTTGTTTGACTGCATGTTTCTGTCATGACAGCAGCTACAGTCCAGCAGATGAGGTACACTAAAGTGTCACTGAATTAACCTTGGCAGATTTTCATCATTACTATCAGCTTCTTCAATCTTAGTTCTGCTCATTGTTTGAGGCAGAGAGTTAAAAAGAATGTGCTGGAAACTGCCGTATATGAAGTGGCATTGCATGTTCAATTTGTATGCACATAGCACTGACACTTTGATACAAGCCAGTCGTTAAAGACGTAAAAACGAACCCAGAAAATAAACTTCAAAAGGCTTTACAATTATTATCCATGTTACAATCGAGAGAGTTCCAATATTCATTTTAGTGTGAGACTGTTCCTTACATTCCTGGCTTTCATCAAGCAGTCATTGAAGAAATTGGCTTTGCTTGGAATAGTTAAAACGTAATGGAGACGTACTGCCAATTTCTGATGAGATTGGCAGTATTGATGCACAAATAAATAAATAAAGAAATGAATAAATAAATATCAGAGATACAATACTGATAGCTAAATTACTTTGTAATACATTTTCTTCGAAAATTTACCACAATGGATTGCCCGGGCGCTAGCGGTGGCTGTGAAAACATTTCGGACAGTGGCTCCTCGAGAGCTTCTGTGGGCTTTACGATCACGTGAAAATCTAGCTCTTTTTACCCCCATCCCGACCCTCTTTACACAAATGCACCACTGCAAACATCGACCTGGCATATGTATCATAATATTTCCACGGAGTGTTAAAACTCAGATGTCTCATATGACTGCTATGTGCTGGTTTCTATCGAAGTACTTCGTCTTCTATCTCCGTCAAAAGTTCATAATCTCAGCTTCGAAAAGTGGATGTCATCGACTACAATCGTTGGAAGTTTCGGCCTTAAAGTGCCCTAAAACAGGCTTTCTGACAAGTCTCTCAAGCCTGTATTATCCTATAGCCTACAACATCTTCACCCTCACAATATTCCTCAAAAGAAAAAAACAAACAAATATGAGAAATGCATCGAGAAGCTCGTACAGAAAGTAAGACAATTGGGCTGTTTGCAGTGTGTCCGCTTCTTATTTTTTTTATTTCAGCGCAAGCTTAGAAAACAAAATGTGAAGACTGTGGGAGTCGCGTTTTCTTACAGGCTTTCAGGTAGAAAGGTAGCTTCGAAGGCTGAAGCAGAAGGTTGAAGTAAACGAGAAAATTTAATAAAGATGAGCGAAGTAGCTACGTCGGCTTATTCGCTCACTGCCGTCTTGTTTTGAAACCGTCGGTGCTCATGAGTCGTGTGGGCTCGCGTCCCTAGAATGACTGTGAGAGGTCCCGCTGTTGCCTCCCCTCTTACAGAGTGCGACTACACTGATAGGTATATCTTATAAAAACCCAAAATAGTGCATTCCTTTTTCGTGTAAGTGTCCATGTGTCTCTTGCAAAAAAAAAAAAACAGGCCGGTGCTCGTTGGGGCTGGCATAGGCTATAGAGTGGTACGAGCTTCGAGGAATGTCTCGTGGCCTCGCTGAATGGTTCACCAAAGGACATAGGAGGTTCGCTTGTTTCGTCTCGTCTCTTCAGGAAGGAAAAATGACCCGAGACCAGAACTTGTCCTTCTTCCGTGTTTCAGATTTTCTGGACGAGGTAGCTTCCGTTTGTCCGGGTGCGATTCCAGGTCCAGCACCTGCAGCAGCCAGCGCCACTGGCGCACTTTTCCCGCTGCCCGCCTGAGCGAAGCCTTCCCCTATTCCCACGTTTTTGGCCCGAAACCGGAAGAAGGGGCACTGCAACCGGCCAGGTTTCGGCTCGGGACTCTCCATGAAGCGTACAGTCGCTCCACTTCCTCCTGCAACTCCTCCACATACACCGCCCAACTCTTCGTGATCATCTGGGTGCGATGAGGTAGAGTGAGTGGAGTCGGCACTCTTGTGTTTTTTCATCTTGTTAGTCTGAGATAGCTTCCATCTGATACCCAGGAACGATGACTTCCCACTGCCAGTGCCCTTGGATGCCGAGTCGTGCTCACTTTTGCTAGCTTGTGGTGGATTGTGTCCATCAGCGCCGTTGGCTATGGAATCGGCGAACGCGTTCTCGAGTACGTTGATGATTTCTGCACTAGTCGTCACTGGTGGCACGGACGAGGCACTCTGCGCAATTGTGGTGCGCTTTTCGTCTGCGTTTTCATTGAGGAATGGACAGGATGCGATGTTGTTTTTTCTAGCTTTGAACAACGGTTCAGCATTGTTCTTCTTGGCATTGGCCAATGTTGCGGCTGCTGGCTCGGGAGCTTTAGGAGGTATACTGTTGATAAGCATGCCAATCTGCAAAAGAAGAAAAAAAAGTGCAGCAGGTAAGACAATAAGAATTTAATTGGTACTTATTTGATTTGGCACCTCCGAAATGTTACAGACACTCACTCTAAGTAAAGCATGCTAAACACTTCTTTGATCTAGTAGTCATCGCATCCAACCTTGCTCTTCCAAGTTTTTTGTTTTCCTAGTCTTCCCTTTCTCAGCCCGCGTCCACTTGCATTCTCTTTGCTCCATAAGAATATATTGTTCTAAATGAGCAAAGTCTGTGTTGACTACCTTGTGATATTTAGAAATCAAGTTTTGTATAGGCCACTTATGTATGTTCAACACAGCAGGTCATGTTAACAAACTCAAGCATAATTTTTTGCTCGCTTAAATTGGTTGTTAGTGTGGCCTTTATGCACAAACAGGTTGTAAAAGTATCATTGGTACAAGCGACATAAAACTGCTCCACTTTATTTTGATAGTAAAGATTTACCTGTGATCATTGTCTTCACGTCATTTCTGAAGCCATCTGGCAGCAAGGCAGAATTTCAATGGGTATTTGTCTTTATCTGAACATATTTATATTGACATGATATAAAGAGGAGTTGATTGATTGATATGTGGGGTTTAGCGTCCCAAAACCACTATATGATTATGAGAGACGCCCTAGTGGAGGGCTCCGAAAATTTAGACCACCTGGGGTTCTTTAACGTGCACCCAAATCTGAGCACACGGGCCTACAACATTTCTGCTTCCATCGGAAATGCAGCCGCCGCAGCCGGGATTCGAACCCGCGCCCTGCGGGTCAGCAGCCGAGTACCTTAGCCACTAGACCACCGCGGCGGGGCTAAAGAGGAGTTCTGCGCACCTTGCATGCGTGTCTTATTATGTGACAAAAAGGAAGAAAATTATATTTGGGCAAGTTCAGAAGCATAAATTAAAAAAACGTTTCATTAACGTGATCTTTCGCTATAAAGACACACGCAATTAACAGTATGCATTATTAAGAGACGCACACAACTGTGTGTTTTCTGTTTTGTAATCAAGGAGTGAACGCCATCACGAAATAAATCTCAGAAAAGGATGATTTGGGCACAAACAGAGGGCTATAAACAGGCGCAATATGTCGATATATGTTTTTTTTTAGAAAAGCTTAGGTTTGAAGCAAGCTTGATTCTAACAATCAAAATATTTTGGAATACAAGCCAATGATAGTTTATGCAACGTGCAACTAAATTTGACATAGTGCAGCAGCTCAGCTTTGCCGGGTCTAAATCAAGGAAAGTTCGTGAGTACATTAGGTTTTTTTTTTTGAGAGAGAAATATACTTTCTTAGTGCGCAGGGAATGTTTCACAAAAAAGATAGATTGGACGGAGTGCACCTTCTCTTTTTTTAACATTCCCTGCGTACTAAGAAAATATATTTTAATTTAAAATGCAACTACGACTCGCCCAAGTAGCCACTAACTTACATTACGAGGATGCAAGAAATTTAGTAATGGACACTGTCCTACAAACCAATGCAAACTATGTATCTTTCCTTATGAATTCAGCAATCAAGAAGCAATATTCGTCACCACTTTTCAATGATCAACGTTCGACCCATAATTTTACAACCAGAACTACTTAGTCTATTGAGAAGTATCAATATAATTTGCCCTCAAAAAACTACTTCGGATGTTTTAGTTCAACAAGTTTGCACAAAAACCAATCTATATTTGAATAAAGAAGTGTCTGCCGAGTAGGCGCTTCCGATCACGGCGGTTTGTCTACAACTAATGGGCTACAAACCAGCAATAAATTCGGCATACTCATGATTGATTGATATGTGGGGTTTAACGTCCCAAAACCACCATTTAATTATAAGAGACGCCGTAGTGGAGGGCTCCGGAAATTTCAACCACGCGGGGTTCTTTTACGTGCACCAAAATCTGAGCACACGGGCTCCAACACTTCCGCCTCCATCAGAAATGCCGCCGCCGCAGCGAGAATTCTATCCCGCGACCTGCGGGTCAGCAGCCGAGTGCCTTAGCCACTGGACCACCGCGGCGGGTCTGTGGCATACTCACGGAACAGGGAGCAACAATAAGTGAAAGTTGAACGGCACTTGGAGTTTTTGCTTTCATTTGTAAATTTTGCAGCTACGTGCCACGTGCAGATCTTTCAACTATCTCTAAACAGCAGATTTGAATTAAAATGAATAGAAAAATGATTTTACAAAGTTATATTTATAGCATGTTGCAATAAAGAAAAGAACGAGCACTGTCTCAATAGTATTCATAATACCAGTTTTTTTAGGTATCCGGCTCTGCACTCTTGAGCACTGCTTTTCATATCACTGTGTATATTGTTAGCACTTACCCAAATTGATAGTTCTGCCAGCCGAATCGATTATTAGCGTTCGCGTTGATCTTTGGTTGCCCTCCTGCCTTTTCAATAAAACGTATTTGATAGTGAGAATTCTGTGTAGTCATTTTCCGTTCCGTTGTTTGAGCCGTTCAGCGATAATGTTCATCGCTTTGACGTTCATCGATTTTGTCACCCTAGGAATACTGGTGCAGTTCACAATTTCTTTCCTTTTTGTACGAGGCAAATCAACTAGCGCGCAGCTAGCTCCGTGACAGGTACAGTGAACCTTTTAAACATTAATCTTCTGCGTACCTCGTCCGCTTCCAAGGACGGTGACGGGACGGCAGACGCGCGGCGCACTGGTGAGGAGGATGGCGAGAGGAGCATGCTGTCATCGGCCGGCTGTTGCCCAGCAGCCTGAGGGGTCTTTGCGTCTGTGGCGGGTCTCGACACCATGTCCACGAGGTAACAACGGAGAGGGAAATCACCCACATCCGGGTTGTCCTCAAACACGTAATCTTTCTTCGTTAGGTGGCTGCAAATACAAAACAATGAAAAATTGGTGAGATGGGGAGCCGATGTCCCAAAATAGTTGCATGATAATGCGACACGCTACAAAGAAGATCACCAAAAAGTCGTATTACCAGGAGGTATTTAACGTGATCCAAAATATAATGACGTGAAAAACCGGGCTAGTTGGTTTTAATACATTATTGGAAACATTTCAGCACGCCCAGAGTGGTGACTTTTGCTCATTTGTCTTCTCAACTCTCATTTTTCTCCTATTTTGTGAGCGCCTAAAGGTTTACAATAGTGCATCTAAATCTAAGCACATAGACCTCTGGGATTTTAACTGCAATGAAATTTTCTCTCCTCGGCCGGGATGCAATCACATGACCACAGCATCTGCATAAAAAAGAACCTTGTTTTTTGTGTAGCGGCGGTGCATTGGCATGCGGGTCAGCAGTGAATCACCACAACCACAAAACCACTTTGGTTGGTGGCGAGACATCATTAACTACAGTGGTATCTCGTTCACACAATTAGGCATATTACGTTTCTTGCCCTAATACGTGTCTTTTTTTTATTCCCCTGGGGATATGAGGCCTATATGCAAGAATGCCTACCGAGCGTAAACAAAAAGATGGCAGCATATCCACGGGGTGAATGATGGAGAGGGGGGCGAAGCATCCGTCCTTTTGTTCGTCCATGCGTCCGTCTGTGTGACCGTCCATGCATCCAACCACCCGTCCGTGCGTGCGTGCGTCTGTTCGCGCATCCGCACGTCCATTCATGCGTCCAACCCTGCGTTCATCCATGCTTCCACCCCTGCGTTCGTCCATGCGTCCGTCCATGCATCTGTCTGTGTGTCCATTCATCCGTCTAGTCAACACTCCAAGTACCACCATCTCGCATCTTTTCATCATATATTCCGCATACAGAAGCACCGCCATCCAGCGGACATTCCAAGGACTAAACGAGAGGTGGCACACGCACACTTGCTTACGGTTTGCGCTTCGTGTCTACTTCCCACCTTTAACGAACTCGAGTTCATGGTATATACTAGTTCACTGTATGCATGGCACTCCGGCCCAAAGCTTGCTAAACCTTTCTAAAACCAAGGAGGTTACGCCCAGCGAGTATAACATCCCTGCGTTCGTCCAAGCATTCGCCCCTCGGTCCGTCCATGCGCCCATTCGTCCCTGCGTCCGTCCATGCGTCCGTCCATGCATCTGTCTGTGTGTCCATTCGTCCGTCTAGTCAACACTCCAAGTACCACCATCTCGCATCTTTTCATCATATGTTCCGCATATAGAAGCCCCACCATTCAGCGGACATTCCAAGGACTAAATGAGAGGGGGCACACGCACACTTTCTTGCGGCTTGCGCTTCGTGTCAACTTCCCACCTTCAACTACCTCGATTTCATGGTATGTACTAGTTGACTGTATTCATAGGACTGCGACCCAATGCTCGCTAAACCTTTTTAAACCAAGTAGGTTACGCCCAGCGAGTATAACGTAGCAACCCTTTCTTTTCAGACAGCGCTCAATGTACATGCCAATGGCTGCTAAGGAGGAATGAGAGACAAAGGAATTCGGCTTTTAGTTAACGTGCACGCTGCGAATTTTTATTGTTCAACAACGCACAGGAGAAATCTCTTACCGGCACCACCTTGCAGGTTGTTGGGCTCGAACTTCGTGCGTTCCCCGAATACCTTATGTTACCCACCCAGCGGCCGGCGACCCCTCGCCAACAAGGAAGCAGGGCCACCGGAATGCGGGACGATGACTGTCTGCTGGCCACAAAGGACGCGACAACTCCCGTGCCACTGTCGGGCTCAATTATGGCGCCTTACAGAAGACCAAGCCAGGCTGCAGGTGGCCGGTACACGTGGCCGGTACACGTGGAAGGTACACGTACGCGTCCGCCGGACAATAGGGAGTTTTAGTGCTGGGTACCCAAGCGGCTTGCGTACGCAGGACGTTGCGGTGGCGGTATTGCGCATGCACGAAACCCCAAACAGATGCGTCGCAAGATTGCTGGGGCGATGGGGCCATGCGCCCGCGCGGTCCACCTTCGCAAGAACTCACGGTATCCGCACTGCGGATACTCTAGCCGTCGAGTTAAAATAAGCCAAAGTGCGAGCATTTATAGCGATTACACGGTTTCAGCCAGATTTCCAAAGCTAGAATAGCCTAGAACCTAGAAACTAAAAAGCATATGCCAGCCCCCCACCCCCGACAAGCTGAATAGGTGGCGCCATCTAGCGTGGCCATAGTGAATCAGACAACCACAACTTTGTTATTGGAGAAACATTGTGCATTGTACATCTGGTGCAAAAACTGCGCAGCGACAATACTACAAATGAGTAACCTCTTTATTCATTTTCACCTCAAAAACATTACGCGTAAGCTAACATGTTCATGACTGCAATTGCACGAAGTGTCACAAGATGTCGACACTGTCGTTACAATAACATTGTATTTCACTTCTTTGCGTATACCAGATTACTGTATTCAATAAAAAAGTGTCCTGATCACAATGTATGTTTAATTGAACAGTTTAAATCATAAAAAGACTTAAATAATACTTACGAAACAAGACGCTATGGCTCTGCGAGCGCGAGTGAACTTCGTGCGGCTTGCGTTTGCGTGCGTGCCACCGTGGCGCCAACTAAAGGGCATTCCGGTTGGGTATGGGTTGGGCACGCAACGCCGCGCGCTCCCAAGCCCGCAAGGCCCCAAGAGAATGCGTACCCAGCACTAAACTCCCTATTGAGAATCAGCGGAGGCGACGGCATTGGCGCAGGGGCCAATTGTATTGATGGCCTGTCAACCCGGCATCGCGGGAACTTTCTCGGAGGCGCTTTTCCACAACCTGGCAACACCCGTCGTCGACCATTCCGGGAACCGGTGTGAAAGAAACCCGAGCGACGGCGGAGAACCGATGAGTGGGCAAGAGGCGGTGAATCTTCGAGGTTGTGGCGAGGAGAGACACATCTGTGCATTTTGATTGGACTATAAGAGTGGTGCGTTACGATTGGACTGTAAGAGTGGTTGAATGGGGAGACAGGGGATAAAACCAGGGGTGCAGGGACAGAGAGGGAGGAGAAAACGAATAAACGTCTCTATATCCAGATGATGTCGGAGCGGTCATTTCCTCAAGGTGCCAGCAGATGAAAAGTTCTCGTCTTCGGCTTCCTTAGCGGCAGCAAATGTCGCTCAACAAGCGAGAGGCGAGTGGAAAGAACCAAACAGAACGTAACTGGCGCAGTCGAGCAGGATCTGCATGGCTGAACTCAGGAGGACAGCGGGGAGCGACATCGGCCGAGACTAACGACCACCACCTTCAACTGACTACCACGCTGCGGGATCAACGAAGCAAGGCTAGTCCACCGGATTCCGAGGAGGAAGAGCGCCCGCACCGCAAGGCTACTTCAGGCGGGTACCTCTTGATTTTCTGTTGGGCGCAGGCGATGAAAAAGCATTACAACTTGCGAGACAGAGAAAGGGACAACTCGGAAATGAACGGGGATGGGGCAGGAAACTTGCAGGCGTTGGGAGTCGCCGACAGCGGCACGGGGGGTCATGGTAGTGGCACGTCAGATACGGCGTCGGAACAGCAGCTAGCGCTGCTCCAACTTCAATTAAAATTTGCTGAGGCGGAAATGGAGAAGCAGCGCTTGATGCTGGAAAGCCAGCGGCTACGAGCCCGTAATGGGGCAGAGTCCAACGAGAGCGATGACAGCGTAGCGCTTGGCGGAAGGTCAGAGGAAGACAGGCGACTGAAATTTGCAAGCTTGTTAAAAGGTGTACTGGCACCAATGCCGAACCAAGAGGCGCTTGCGCCAATGTGGTTCGAGGATGTTGAGGCAACGCTCGAGTCGTATGAAGTTCCGAGCGAATGGTGGGCCGGGCTAGTTTTCCCACTGTTGAGTGAAAGGACACGGGGGCTGCTGTGCAGGCTTACAGCAGAGGAGCGCAAAGCTTATGTTAAGCTTAAGTCAAGCATTTTGGAGGGTCTCAGGCTTTCGGCGGCGGAGTACCAGAGACTGTTTGCGGGATCGGAAAAGGGAGAAAGGGAGTCCTGGGATCAGTTTGCCGTACGCCTTGAGAATTATTTCGACTATTATGTCCAGAGTTCAAAGGTAGGCACGTTCGAGGAACTCAAGCAGCTAGTCGTCGCGGATCGCTTGAAAGAATGTTTGAGCCAGGAAGCGAGAGCGCACGTCATTTGTAATCAACAGGAGTCCTTTTTGCTGCCCAGTGGCGTGGCCAGGCTCGCGGAGAGATTCGAGGAGAGCGAAAAGTGCAAGGCAGCACAAAAGAAGGCAAATGTAGAGGAGTGGCAAAAGAAAACTAAAACAGCGGTAGATACACCCATGAACGGAAACGGAAAAAGGCGATGTTTTGAGTGTAGGGGTGTTGACCACATTGCCAGGAATTGCCCCAATAAGGGTTCAGGTGCAAGGCAAGGCACTAGGCCAGCAGGATAACTAAGCGGTCCAGTGGTCGCGAGGGTGACGGCTTCTGCATTCGGGTCAGAAATAGCAATGACAGACAGGTTGTGGCAGCGTAAAGAGCAGAAAGAACCCTCACTGGAAACTGTAACGCTTAAGAGTTCCGGTCGATCATTAAATGCCGTGGTAGACTCAGGAGCGGAGGTGAGCGTTATCAGAAAGGCAGTGGTACCTCAGTACGATGGTACGGGTTCGCAGATAAAGTTGATGGGAGCGTTCGGGCAACAGGTAACCGCTGAGTTGGCTTACGTGCCGCTCATAGCTACTGAAGGTAGTCCTTACGTGATGTCCGAGGCGGTGCAGTCGGCCGTGCTTTGTGCAATCACAGATCAGCTGCTAGACGGCACCGACGCGCTGATCACGCCCAACGATTATGCAAAGCTTCTCGAGGAAAGGGTTAAACGAGACATAGTGTCAGACGAGTGTTCAGGAGTCGAGGAGACCGAAGGTATAGTAGAGCTGTCAGATGAGGCATGCGAGGAGCAATGGGTGATGGCAGGCGTCATAACCGCG